CGTAAAACTTACCATAACAAGATTGACCAATGACACGGCATTCAGACTGATACCCCATAGATACATAGTTCCCATCAAATCCACTGTAATCATGGTAATAGTTATGCATATTATCGTCGCAGAGTAGAAATCCAACCCAAGAAGAATGAAAGTGACAACAAAGATAGCCGCCAGTGAAATGCCAAGGTTGAAGTATGTATCATTCTCAATAAATAGATATTGTTCATAGAACACATAGAATATACTCAAATAAACAACCATTATGTTTTAATAAAATATTGTTTTGATTTGATTTAAAAATAGAATTGATTTGATTTAAAAATTATTTGATCTAACAATTGAATTGGTTTGATTTAACATTTTGTTGATCACCATCATTCATTGATAAATTTTTTGTTTATACAATTTTTTAAAATCATTTCAGAATTTTTAACTAAATGGACTTCAATCTATATTCCTCATGTTTTATACAAAACATCAGGTAAATTGAGTAAAAATAAATATTTCAAAAAAAATCTTTAAAGTAAGATTTTTATTTGCATTATGAAAATGTCTAGTATATAGAAAGTAAATGCAATACATTGCTTTTGTTTAAAGGTTTATTAAAAACAGCAACTCTAGTTGGCTAAAAGAATGCATATTTGGGTTGAATAACCAATAGGATGTGTTGTTACAAGAAGACTCGCCTGTATGGAAAGACTTCAAATTCATCCTCTGTACCATGGGCATCATTGAGCATTCTGGTGATATTACCGCTCACATTACGTGCATGCTTTAACGCGTCAATAAAATCAGCAGAGTTCTTCAATATGGTGTGGTAAGTCATGAAGTAAGTCGCTGCAATTCAAGATAAACATAGTGAAACTATAGTGACTTTTCCCATGCACATTCGAACAGTGAAAAGATGTGTGGGTATGTAGTTTAAATGCTTGTGTAAGTTTGAAAATGAACATTGGTAAAGCTCAGTTCCTTTAAAGTTACAGTTTATAAACAGATTTGATCAAGTTTAAGTCGAATCGAATATATGTCAATATATGTCCAAGAAAGGTCAAAATAGAAAAAGCAAAACCAAAAAACTACCTAGGAATATTGACCGAGTCGCTTGACATATGACACATAACATAACCACAGCTACAGGACTAGAACTCATTGACAATGTCCGACTATGTGTAAAATCATGGACGTTTGAATTTTGCGTAAACGAATATTTTTTGCATACGTTGCGTATGCTGAATGAAACTCAAACACGATGCAGAGTAATGCATGCGGCATTTTAAAACAAAATACATGAATGAATGAATGAATTGATGCTGTCTATAACAAATTCATCTATGAATATGGTTCTGAGAATTTCCTTATTTCAGGTTTTTATGGCATTTGTAAAGACAAAATTTTGAGAAACTCACTCACACTCCATGAGAAATTTTCACATTTTTATCAGTTTTATTATCACAACATTTGTACACCTGCACTTACCTCCAACTGTACGTTTCTGCTCGTCTTGAAAATGTACCGCAGACCCATATGCTGCATGACCACTATAAGAATACAAATTTCATTAAATAAGAACTTTTTGTGTGAAATGAAAAACAGAACAAGGAATTTTGTGAATTTTTTTGTATGTGCAAAAGTTTTGGGAATTTCATGTCGTGGGAGTATAAATGGCCAATTGCTGTAGAATTTCACAAATATTAAAATTAAACAAAGCATGAACAATTCTAGCGAGAAGTATTTAAGGATTTAAATTAATGAGCAAAAACAATGATGACAATAAATTATTTTCCAATGAAACAAACTTTCATAAATTTTCGAGTCAGGAAAATCATGAAGTTATGTAGCAGTGAATATTTCATTGAAATCTATAAGACAGTGACTCAAAGCGTCTAATGTGAAATTTTGTCTCAATTTTGTCGCAAGAATTGATAGTGACGAAAATTTAACGGTTTCTGTGCATTCAATACTCACCCTTTGCTGCATGCAACCCCGGGATTGTCCTCCAAGAAAAACGGCAAATACTTCTCAAATTCTTCCGGTGTTGGTCTTTTCCCCTTCTCAGAATGAGAGTGGCATGCGATACAAGACTTCTTAGGACCAACTGAAAACAACCAATAAAATGCCATTATGTATAATTAAGCTAATTTAATTAACTATGCAAATTTATGCATATAAACATTTAAAAATGAGCAATTAGGATCAATATACTTAAGATAATACAAAGTTATTATAAGAATATGTGTGAAGTGCGTGTAAAGGCAATACAGAGCAATGTGTAGCAGAATCAATGCGATCCTGCACTACCTGAGTGCATACTTTCTCGCGATAAACTAAATATCACGTTTACCTGCTGCATGCATTCATAATTTAATGAGATACTAACTCAAAACAAATTAAAAATACACTGTATACAAGTTAAGTCACCAAATGTTTGCATGTTCAATGATTTCCTTTTACATTAAAAGTTTTATTTTTAATGTTTTAATGTTTGGATTAATATATATATGCTTAGAATGAATGCAATTACAGAATTCAAATGCTATCTGTGTCACAAGTGCATTGTTATAATGGATGTGTATTTTAGACTATTTACTCACCAGTCGCAGGGCAGAACGGTTCATCTGTACTATTGTAATATCGACAACAAGGCACTGATCCTTCAGCATTCAACCAATCAAAGAAGTCGTCAAGCCAAGAACTTGTTGGGTGAGCTAAACGCGTACTAAAAGATGCAAAACAAATAATCAAGCATTGGTTGACAGAATTCCAATGCTTGTTCTAGGATAAAATGACATAAATTACCATGACGATCTGATAGGACGTGCCTGTGGTACACAGAGATTTGCTGTGACGCAATTAGTTGTGTTAACTCACTGGATTGTCATAGTCATTCAGTAAAATAAATTTCACATTTTATAAACAAAATCTAAGTGTTAAAAAAAAAAAAAAAAAATCACAACATTTTTGTTCCTGCATCAAGTCTCCTGTACAGCCACATATAAAATTTGATTTTTTCTTGAAGATTGATCTCTCAAGCAGTCAACAAACTGCCTGAACTAGTTTTTGGGGGATTCCATTTTGACACAGGAACACTACAAAATCAGTCCTGCTAGAGGGCACATGGCAAACCATCACATAAATGAAAACTGAAACTTACTAGTTGGGCATCTGAGAAGCATGGTAAACTTGTGACGTTAAGGAATCATCGTTACAACCTGAGCCTCCGCAGATCATATTCTGATTCTTGACTTCAGTGAAATCATATCCTTCCTTAGTCACGAAATACACTGGGGGTCCCACATTCAGGTATTTATTCAGATAATCAAAATAATCAAGAACATAAGAATTCTGATGGAAAAAGAAAACATTTTTTTTTTTAAATAGCTATATAGCAGTTAGATATGAACTCCGAGTCCAGTAAACTGTTGGATTTATGCTAAGCTTATTGGTATCTTGGGAGAGCTGTAATTACTCCATTAGAAGAAAATCTCTTTAAAAAAAGCATGCATTTGTATTGCTATTGGAAGTCCAATACCGTATTTGTTCTATTAAAAGTACACTCCCATATAAAGACCTGTGTAAACCTACAGTATTGTATGTCAATTAATAAAATATAATTTATTTCCACTATAGACACACATATGCTTCTACAAGAGCAAATATGGTAGCTATGAAAACACTACCCCCAAAAAATCTAGGATGTGTGACCTTTAAAGGGTCATGCATACAGCCTCTTCTACAGTGTACTTCACAATCTCTTCTACTGTTAATTATTCTTACCTCAGGCATAGAAAGCTGCTGATCTAGTCCAACCTCAACTTTTGTCATGAGAACAACATTAGCACAGAACATGAAGACAAAGAAAATAACCTGTAAATATGAACAAACTGAGTCACATTTGGAGAAATGACACAACAAACAAACACAGAAAATGGAATTCCTATGAGATCTCCACAAGAATCACTTAACACAAATGTCAACATTAAATATTAAATACTGATGACAAATTTAGGTTTGATATACATATGTCAAATTTGACACCATAGAAATAATGTCAGTCTTTGCTAGAATTTTGTGTAAACAAGACATTCTATACATGTTGTACAACATTAGTTTCAATGCCTACAGTCTAGGAGTTTTTATTCATAAAATCTTAGAAATTTATATTGTTAAATTTGTTCTTGTTTTTTATTTATCATTGTTGTCTGTAACAATGTTTGTTTTTTCGTTTGTTTTTTAGCCATAAATTTTGTAATTTCCTACATTATATTTGGGACCCATACATAGCAAGAAATAATGTGATGACTGTTGTGCTAAAACACAGATACTCTGAACTGTTTTAAAACACTATGCTAATCTTCAAAATATTATACACACCAATGTCACTGTGAAAAATAAGGAACTTACAATGAATGGTCTCAGCCAGTTCTTCATAATGAAAGGTGCATAGTATTTTGTCATAAACGAATAAAGTATGCCATTCTCTTTGGGTCCAGGCTCTTTCTTAGAGTTTGGTAGGCAACAGAAAACATCAAAACGTCCAGCATCTTGTCGCTTAGCATCCAGGGACATCGCCGCAACGAACACCGTGATTTGTAAAATGAAATCAATAAATACTGCGGTGGCAGCATAGAGTGAGAATGCTTTGACAGCGGGCATTGTTGACAAGGCTCCTACAGGACACAAAAAGAATATATGTGATTGATAAGTGAGTGGGAATCTTCAATATTTGTTTTGTACAGCAAGTCAGTGATATCGTCAGCTGATTGGTTAACAATATAGCTGTGTTGCATGCAATGTTGTTTTCAGGAAGCAAGTAGATCGTTATCAGATTCAAAGGCAACTCAACATTGCTGCAATACAGCTGTACTGTCAGTCAATTATCCTACTGACTCAGAGCATGAAACAAATTTACAGTCACAGTAACATCGACAGTTACATTACGACACAACCTGCATGTTAAGCGCTGTTAGGATACTTGGGGCTGTTACTGAGTTAAAGCGGGGTAGTCGTCACCTGCGCATGCATCAGATGGCCATAACGTGTCATTGTTTACAAACAAGCGTCTACCCATGAGCCTTTGCGTTTTTAGTGTGTGTTGTTATCGTCGCTTGGGACTCAATTCCCGCGAGTGCACAGGTGATGACCCTCCCGCTTTAAGTGCAAAATCCTCTCAATTTCATCATTCATTTACAAGAAATTCAGCATGGATTGTTTAGTTTTATCGATAATGAAATGTGAGAATGGACAGTTTCACCCCCTACTTTTATGAAATGTAACCCCTACTCGATATATTGATGCTGATTCTATCCATGTTTCTGTTCATCTGTAAGACCCCTCGGCTGATCAAAAAAATGATAGGAAATATTAGAGGTGCTAATAACTTAACCTAGCATAATATAAATCTTTTTGATATGTATGCAAATATTCTTTAAACTTGCACTGATAACTGGAAAGACTATTCAAGACTATTTTTATCTTGCTGATGTGAGGTGAACACCACTACCTCATAACATAACTGTATATAATATATATTTAAAAAAAAGTTAGGGTCTTACCGAGAAAGAAGGCCACAGATTCTGATAAACTTGTTAATAACATGCTTGGACCAACGTCACCCACAACTCGACCAATTTGATCGGCTCTATCTTCATAAGGCATCCGTGTATCACGCTGTAAACAAGTTATCAAAAGCAATCACGGATTATTTATTGTATTTCTAACATCAACGAGAAACTGTAGTACAAATTTCGCATGACTTGAAAAAAAGTGGCCGGGTAAAAATTAGTAAATATACATTTCCATGTTTTTAAGAATAAAGAACTGTAGCTATTTTGTTTGGTGGTCGTTTTATTGCCCTAACAAAAACAGGCATGTGACACTATTGGATGCTGGTCATAAATGAGCAGCTTTTACATGAGGAAACATTGGCAACTAATAATGCAAGGCTTGCAATGAAAGTCACGTCATGAACCTAATTTTTGAGATAAACTTTATACATTTGTACTGTAAAATATTTTAGTTTCGCTTGAAGGAATAATTCAGTGAAAATAAAATCCAGCGAATATACCTTTTTTTCTATATCAGAAAATTAATTCCTGCTAAAATAAATTATTTTACAGTATTACTTTATGTGGATTACTTTATATATGGGACGCTAAGAGGAAAAGTAAACCATGATCTGTTCAATCGAAAAAAAAACAACTATTTTTAAACTCAAGAAAATCAAACAATGTGCCTGAAACATTTGGAAAAATAGAAAAGATATTTAGTAGTTTTCCCTATGCTAACACATTGCCAGTAAAACATGGAAACTCCTGCACACTCGCTTAAAACCCACTATGTTCAGGAAACTGTATTGAAAAACTGAACATGAGACCACCCTTTCAGCAATACTTTTGCATATTCGCCTATGTTTAGTAACCAAAATAATAATTAATATTTTCAAGTCAAACTTATTTGATTTTGATCAACTTTTGATCAAATATGTCAAATATACTAGTTGGTGAAAGATAAAAAAAATAATCCAACCCCCTGTTTATAAGTTCTTTGGGTGGTCGTCACTATACACAGGTTTGACTGTATTGTAAATGATTCTTTTTAGTCTGAAATATCTTTTTTCCTATATTTCATTTAATTTCATCAAAGTCTTTACAGTGAAAATTAATTCCAGTTAAAATAAAGTATTTTACAGTAGCTTTATTTACCTGGTATGTCTGTACCAATATAAATATATTATCCACACCGACAGCAAGCACTAAGAATGGCATGACTTCTATAACAATCAGTGTTGTCGGTATGCCAGCATATCCCCAGATACCGAGAGAACCGCCCACAGAACAGAGTACAATCAACACTCCCGACAGTCCAAGACTAATCTTAGAGTCAATCTGAATAAACAAGATTACATGTTATACATTACCACATCTGGAATCTAAAATCGATAAAAAAAAAAAAAAAACGCTTTGAAAGTCATAATTGTTTCGCCAACATTTTGAATTTTTCTACAAATTCATTGTCAACTTAGAATGAAAATGACAAAATTTCTTCTTTGGCAAGTTTATTTTTTGAAAGGTGACAAAGAATAAGTGAAAAAAGCTATTTTCACAACTAAATTACCATGGTAACAGACTCATGACATTTAGAAACAACGCTGAAGATTAACAAAAAATGTGCCATGAGGGTTTGAACCTCAGACTCCACATTTTTTTTCAGACTATATAAAGCAAGTTGCTGGGAGGTCAACCAGAGTGGAAGGAGACTGTCTGGTATTCTATTGATACTTGTCTCATTCTCTATAAATAAAACAGATATCATGCAGCACACTGCCATCTATATTGTATATTTCTTACTTACCATAAATCGCTGACAACTCGTGAGCTTTCCCAGCGTAACAGCAACGTACGCAAACATCAATAGATAACTAACAAGGATCGTCATAATGTCAGAATCACTTTCACGAACCAACTCATCTTGAATAGAACGCTAAGTACGAAGAAATAAAAAAAGATGAACATGAAAATGAATTCATTATTACATACGCATACAATTCTACTTCAAACAGCCAACAGGACAGACTGACAGACACAGCCGAAAAGACAGAGTCACTCACTGAATAGAAGACAAAAATACCAACAATGTCGGAAAGATTTATATGAAATGAATTCATTAAATTCATGCATACAATTCTACTTCAAACTAACAGACACAGCCAGACAGACAGAGTTACTCACTGACAAGAAGACAAAACAAAACAAAACGAACATGTTGGAAACTGTCTCACCTCAGACGAGTAAGCAATACTAAGATTTTCATTCTTGTAATCAGATATAAAATCCAAATATGCCTTTTCCCATGCCATTGCCATATCTAATTTCTTAGTGGTTGTATCATTGGCACCTTCAGCTAAGTAGTTATTCACAACAAACGTGATGACTAAGGCAGTTGCATTGTTGTAATTAGTGGCTGCAATACAATCAAATGTCAAGAATCAACAATCAAGGGTAAATAATAATAATAAGGGCGAACAGTGTCTCTGATGATGAACATTTCTATTTTATATATTTCAAACCCCATATGAATTTTACAACTGATCTCAGACCAGCATGTATAAATCAATGATGTCAATAATTTAAAAGAAACTGACAGTTTGGCAGTTTTTAATTAACTAATTTACATAATTAGGTGGATCAACTTCAATTAAAACATCATGTTATTAAATCACTTTTGACACACAGATGACAGATAGGACGATGGTTGTCACAACAAATTGTGTTCGATATGGGTCCCATGTGACATACATAATAAGTGGTACATGAGGAAACTCGCCCATTAAACCAAATGAACACAATAACTAGCTGGCACAATGAGCCAAATAAGATAACAAATACATACCATCATATCCTCCCAGTACAACCCATGGAAATACTGGTGCCCCATAAGTTGCTAAGCATGGCTGATGTAATGGTGTTGTATCATTTAAAGAAGCTGGTGCCCTACGTGTGAAAACAAAAAAACATAACTCATCTATATTATCTCCGAACAGTGTACAGCCAGTGGGGTTCAAACTTGAATGTTTTTTTTGTTTTTTTTTGCGATAGACCACTTTTATAACCCCTAAAGGTTACACATCCTGGTACTTTTGGTGGCATGAAAATCAAAAATGAATTTATTTTATTTATATTTTGACATACTTTTCAAGACTTTTAGCAACTTGAGTAAAATACTTCTGTTGTGCACAAAAAAACGCCTCAATTGTGCTTGTTTGTGATGCTGTCATACCACCAAAAGTACCAGGATGTGTGAAATTTAGAGGTCATAAAAGTGATCTATTTGAGACTGAAACTTACATTGAACAGTACATAAAATGGTCGTGATAATCCGCAACTTGCCAAAATCCCGATGGGTCCATTGCTACCATATCAAGCTGGTCATGGCTATTTTGGTAATATTGCAAAACGCTCTCAATCGTACAGTTGTTATTGTCCGGATGTAACGGCGAGAAACAAATGTCCTTCAGCGTGATGTTACGATTTTCAGGCTCATACCAGACGTTCATTGTCTCAATATGCGTCTGCAAGTCAAGTACCTGATGACGACAGAAATCAGTTACCGGTAAGTACCGACACATTAGTGAAATAAAAATTCATTATTATACATCCACCACTGCACTACTACCTATGGAGTTTCAAAAAAAATCATAATTTCCAATATCTACATTCAATACATCTTTCCCCGATCAAACTTTAGAATCAGCTGGTATTCTGAACAGTCTTCATGCTACTGTAAAACATGTTGAAAAAGCGACATACTATTTTAGCGAATTGTGGTAAAATGACGTAATAGCGAAATGTTGATTTAGCGAATCTCTCTTGTCTTTGTTGATTTCCTGTTTTCACAATACTAGTCTGTCGCCTGCCAAAACAAATGCGCAGTTACCACCTCCATAAAAACAAAGAAAAACTGTCAAGGGTAATAAGGTAGCGCTCAAAATTATTATGTTTTCTGTGTTGTTTACAAAGTGTGTGTGTGAAGAAAAAGATGTTGTTTGGCCTCCATTTTGAATTTATAATGAAGTCATTAGCGACATCTTAAATTAGCGAATTAGTTCTCTCGCTACAAAGACATGCTCGCGAAAAAGACATGTTTTACAGTATTTTCTGTTCTATATAAATTTTGCACAATGGAAACAAGGAATTGAATAATTGGTCAAGTTATTAACCGCCTTTTGAAATGTTAATATTTTATAGAAAAAAATCGTGCTAAAATGATACTGTAAATTTAATGGAATACTTGACATTTTGTGGAGATGACTGTTTTTGTAACGTAAGGAAAAAAATTAATTTTACAGTTACAAATTTCACAATATTATCTTTGACTTTCTAGAAAACATCTTTTGAAAAATTTTAAACACATACTGGTACTATCTGGGTGTTATGTTGTTGCCCTGTAACACTAATTATCATTAGAAAATGAGAAAATCTGAGAGAGGTCCACCTGAGGTACTTATATGTATACATGTAGTATCAAAGCAATCAGACTTGCTGTTTTCAACAAGAAGTTGAAAATATAACTTTTTACCAAAAATAACAATAATATTCATCAAAAATAGAGAATTGAAGATATCATGACGAAATGAACAAATCTAAGAGAGGTCTGCCCAAGGTACATACATATATACCAAGTATCAAAGCAATAAGAATTGCAGTTTTCAAGAGAAGTCGAATAAGTAAAAAGTTGACACTGACATTCACTCATATGATACATGTAAGTGTTTTTTAAATTTGGTTACAAGAGCTTGCATTTTATAGGGCTAATAATGGTACCATTGTTAGGGGGGGGGGGGGGGGTTGGCATGAGAAGGCGCCGTCCAATGTGGATGGAACGCTTCAAAATCAGTCGTCTATAGCCGCACATCATCGAAGCAACGCCGTTTCCTTTACG